TGCTCACATTAATAAAACTCTTATCTAAATAATCTGTAAGAGTCTTTCACAAAGCCAGTAGTTTCTCTTGAGACATATTATATAGTAGGCCCTAAGGAAGTTATTCTATGCTATCATCAGTCTTTTTAATCAATTTAATCCCATGATCTCTACCTGAGTCATGAAGTGGGAGTAGAGTATTGGCAGCTTCCTTATCAAATATATTCAAAAACTTATGATAATGTTCAGGTAGCTTTTCTCTAGGGTTAATCTTTGATTTCACTTCTAGAGTTTTTTGAATGTCAGTCAAACTGACAGTGAAGATCTTGATGTTTCACTTCTCTTGAGTGCTCACAAGCCTAGAGAAGCTTATGACAGAGATGAAAATCACATCAGCTTTTGCATTTGAACTAGGCTCTACCTCTATATCACTCTCTTCAAATCTCACAATTCTTTGATAAGAGATCACAATCACCTTTTGCTGGGTCAGCCAATGGTCATCTAGATACATATTATGATCATATAACCTATTCACCACATAGAGAAAGGCCTGTTCAGTTATGTAACTGCCTATATCAATTTAAATGCCAGTCATCATGCTCATAGAGAGTCTCATAGAGTCTTCAAAGCTAGTCATTTTAACAGAAGAAATTTCAATGCACAGGAGCTTATACTTATTAACATAGGATTAAGAAATAAGATCATAGACATTACATTCACTGTTTATCATTGCTCTAGTCAAAAAAGTATTATCTACTAGAGCATCAATAGTGAAGGATTTGAATATCATCTTAGATTTAAATCTTATTTATTGCTTCTTCATAAGCTTCTTATTTTGCTTCTTTCAGTGTCTTTGGGTTAGAGCTACTCTTTTCTCAAATCCTCACTCATATCCACAATGTCATCATCCAGTATCAGCTTGAGAATCACTTTAGCTATTATGAGGGTAGCAGGGCATCTGAGAGATTTGAACAGACAGCTCTTAATTATATGACCTTCAGCTCTGCATCTCAAGTGCAGGCCTTGCTCTCTCTATTGATTAATCTCTGTCTGATTTATCAATTTGATGTGGTGGGCACTTGGGGTCACAGCATCAGGAGAGAGATTCATCAGATTATCAGCAGAAGCTTGAGACTGATTTTGTTGATCAAGGACAGTATGACAAAGTGAAAAGTGTGAATTAGACATTGTATGATCTGAAGAAGATCTGCTCTTGTGATGTTTAGATCACTGTCTTAAAGTCTTAAGCTCAGAGAGTTGATGATCAACTAATCTAAGCTCTTTGCAGTAATTCTTGTAGAGAGATAGTTTTCTTACACTCATCATGTCTTTCCTCAGCTCCATGCTTAGGGCAGATTTCAAATACTCTTTTTTAATATAATCATCTCATTTATGACCATCAGCTTCCAGCAGTAGCTGATTAAATTCAGGCAGAAAGTCAAAGAGAGCTCTTCTACTCTGTCATAGATTGTTGAGCTTTTGCATAGCCTTTTTCTGTTGTGCAGAATCACTAAAGAGCATGTGTGTCTGCTTCAGTAAGCTCTTTATCATGAAGTTGATCTTGTTTTTATTATTCTCAACTCAGAGGTAAACTCAAGCTGCTGCTATTTCTTCCAATCTTGAGTACACATATCAAGCACATTTCTCATTATTATCTAAAGCTTTCCTATTGATCTTAAGTTTTGATTGAAGCTTTAGCTCTCACTGAGAGTAGTACTTCAGATTAGAACTATCATACTTCTCACAGTCCAGTAGCTTGGTCTTTGATCTTCTGACTGCAATAAGTGGTTGTGAGTTCAATTGAGAGAGAATTGATATTGAGATGTTCAAAACTTGTTGTAGATTAGCTATTTTAGCTTGCTGAGCTGCTATTAAATCTCTGTTCTCACACTGAACCTGTTTCTGCTGTTGAAGAAAGATCATTCATTGTTATTCAAAGCTGCTGAGAGCATCTCTGCTCATTGCTTTGTATTGATTCATTTGTGTATTTATTGTACAAATCTGTCACTTTATCTCATTCAGCTAGATATTTTCAATGTTGCTCATTCATTTATTAGCACAATTGCTAACCTAGTCTATTCATATACCAGTGCTATCATTGAACTTTGTGATGCAGGATTTAAAGCTCTCAATAGCCTGTTGTATGTCAGCACATTTGCTGAGCTTTGTGATACAGGATTAAGACTTTCAGTGGCCTATCAATGAAAGGAGTGAAGCAATTCATAATGTAGAGGATTAAGCTCTAAGACCTAGAGGCTAGTCCTTCTATATAACAAGGATAAATTGCTTGGGAAAGGGAAGAAAAGAATAAGATAAGAATATGAGCTTAAGCAAGCTCGCATAACATGATCATGTGCGCATGTGCAAATGATAGCTAGGCTGAGTCAGCCAGCCAGAGCGAATCTAGAGATTCAGCCCCTAATAGAATAGAAGCTAATCACTAAATCTCTTAAAAAAACTTTAAGAATTTAAAATATTTATATATATGAATAAGTAGCAATAGATTTTATCTTTAATTTTTTGTGAAATAAGAAATTAGCAATATAGTAATTTGAATCTTCATGAAGTATTGATTCTAATCTTCAGAAAATATTAATACTAAAGAATTGATTTTTTGAAAAATACTAATCTGTACTAATTCTAAATGCTGAATTTTGAAATAATGCTGATTTTAAATGTTGAATTTTAAAATGATGCTGATTCTTTAGAAGATACTAATGCTAAAGTGCTTTGATAAGCAGTATGAAGATAAATACTTTAATAAGCAGTGTGATAAGCAGTGTAAGAGCAAAAAGCTTATATAAAGAGTCTTGACATCATAATAATAATATAAAAGTTTCAATTCATTTATCTAATTAGATAACTGCAATGAGAATATTAAACTGAAAATTAGAATGTGAAATAAATAAGTAGTTAAATATAAAAAGATAATTAAAAATTAAAATAAATTAATCTTAGTTCATATTACAAGCAACTGCACTATAATAAATATTTTAACTATTTTTTATTATTAAAACTTTATTTTTATATATATATTTTTTTATTATTATTTTATTTATTATATTAAAATATATTTATTTATATATTCTTTTATATTATAATAAAGAATAGTATATTAAAGATTTAAAAAATTAACTTTATTTAAACTTTATATATAATAATTATAAAATTATTTATATATTAATTATTAAGAATTAATATAAATTCTTTATTATAAAATATTTTAAAATAAATAAATTTAAAAAATATATAATTTAAAATTTATAAATATTAATTTTAGCAAATAGATAATTATTTATAACTATCTAAATAATTTTAAAAAACTTATAAAAAACTTAAAGCTAACTAGTTAGTTACTATGTGATACTCAACAAGAGTAGAGAAAACAGATTAATAAATACTTATAACTGTTACAGCGCAGCTGCTTGTATATGAATTAAGTTTGATTCACTCTGCTATGCTCTCAAGATTGATTTATTCTGATCTCAATCATATTCAGTTGCTCATGTTGATCTGATTCAATTCTCAATCATCTCTTTATATTCAGCTGCTCATTTATTCTTCATTCTAATTCTGAGTTTAGTATTCTCATCGCAGCTGTCTAGTTAGATAGATGAATTGAAACTATTGTCTTGTTATCATTCTGACTCTAGTTAAGTCATGACAATAACTCATTAAACAATATACTTTTAAAGATTAAATCTGATTATCTAGTTTACTAGATATCTATCACATAAAATATAATTTTTAAAGTTTTAAATAGTTACAACTACTATCTAGATATATTACTTAGTATTTATAATATATTTCATATGAATCTTCTTCAATGAGTTACTGTGATGGTGCTGGCTACTTGCGCTGGCTACTGCGCTATGACAACGTATGGCTACTGGGTCTAACGAAAACTGGCATTGACTCAAAAGGGTAATAGAAACTGCCTAGCAAACAGTCTAAGAAAACTGCCTAGCAACTACTCTGTAAGCAAATACCTCACAAAAACTGCCTAGCAACAGCATAGCAACCGCTAGTTTAAAGAACTATATAAATAGAGACTTCCTCAGAAGCATCTTAATATTTTGTTGAAATAGCTTATCTAACTGACAATTGAATATCTGTTTATCTGCATCTAGATTGAAGTCATAACAGTTACTACTGATCTACTTTTCTGATAAAATCAAAGTAATTAATATTTATTAGAATTATTTATAGAGAATAATAAACTTGAATATAAAATAGAGAAAATTTATATTAAATAAATAAATCACTGTTATTAAGAACTACTTATGAAATAAATTAATTATTCTCAGCTGCTCTAAGACTTTAAATTCATATTAAAAAATATTATCATACTCATTAAATATATAATATTATCTATAATTACTGATTACTCTCTCATTACTCTACTTACTATTATTAAAGATATTAATATTTCTATAAATAGAGAAAAATATTATAAAGATTATATTTTATTTTATTTTTTTTTTATTTTTCAAACTTTATCTTTATATAAGTCTTAATTATTTTTATATAACTTCTTTATCTTCATTTAAATTTTTATTATTCTTGTTTAATTCTTTCTTTATTATTAAAACTTTGTCTTAATATAATTTTTATTTTTTTTTATTTTATTTTTTACTTTCAACAATTTGTTTTTTAATGTTTAAATGTATTAGTTATCAACTACTAACAATATCTAGTTTATTACATATAAATTGATTCTTTGATGATCAAATTTTAATTACTTAAATTAAAAATATAAATTAAATCTTTTTTGTAAAATAATTTTCTACTTCTATTATTCATTATATTTTTTTAATAAATACGCAAATGCTTGCAAGAAATAGAAAAAAAAAAAAAAAAAAAAAAAAAAAAAAAAAGAAAAAAGAAGAAAGAAGAAAGAAAGAAAAAAGAAAGAAAAGAAAAAGAAAAAGAAAAAAATAGTGAAAATAAACAGCACACGGCATGTGATCCTGCCGACTATGAATTTCTCTTGCTCGATCGATCCTTGGAGTAGTCTGACGCTACTTGTAGAATGTTAGTCTGGTGTAAGCTTGTGAATCAATGAAGACGCTGACAAAGGAGAAATAGGGGAGGGACATGCTCTCAAACTTGTGGCTTTCCTCCCTAAATCTAGCCACTTTCAATTTCTTCGATGGACTCTCCTGTTGAAACAGTTTAACTACTGCAGCTATGATAACAATGGGTTTGTCTCTGTGAGCCGCACATGACGGATAGACCCTGGGCACAACCTCATCCGGCCCTGGTTCTGCCACACAGTTGGGCCTTTGCCCACATATGGAGTGTATTTTGTTTCTCCTCATACACCCACATGCAAAAGATTCTGTCGCTATCTCACACATATTCGAAGGTGCTAAGGCGGTATGTGTATGCCTTTAGGATCGTTATATAATGAGATGTAGTTCGAGGCTCTGAGGGTTGAATGTAGATTTGGCATATAGAACTGGATGTGATGTGAAGAAATAATGAAGCAAGAAGAAAGAAACAGAAAACAGAAGAAACTTATATAGCCCTGGAGGCGGGACCTAGGCTCTGTATGAGGTTGGAACTTTCCATCGTTTGCAAAATTCAACCTAAGGCAACTATTTCGAACCAAGTCGAAGCTGCGCAGCCACGCGATGAGAGCGTATAGTCGGTAACATCCCAGTAAAGATGAGGCAGAAAATGTGGAGACGGTAAATCTATCAAAAAGGGCTAATTGCAGAGAGTAAGGAGCCTCAGCACTGTTAAAATGGTGATTAGCATCACTTCTTAATTTCGCGTAATTTGCATCGCGCATTGGGAATCAACGGGGAAACATCCAGAGAGGTGGGGTTAAGGGAAGACCCAGTTGGGGCTGAAAGTGGTAAATTCATGCAATCAGTCCCATTATATACATCATTCTCTTTGGCTCTGGATGCTTTCTGCTGTCGCTTTGTGTGCGGGTGACTTATGTGTATGGGGTGCATGAGTATATCGAAGTTCCATTCCGCGTAGCGGATTTCCCCATGGACGGTGCGAACAGGGGAGAAATGCCGAGAAGGAGGATATGGACAGACCCCATTGCATGTACAAGTCATCGTCGTCAAAATCTCTGGTCGTCATTGGATGGGGAAAGAAAAAAAAAGGATTACGGTGTTATAGGAAATAGGGCTTCTGGAGGGGGCTAAATGTCTCACGGAATCTTCCGCATCTGTAGGGCCCGCACCCTTAATGTATAAACTCATTGTAAACTGCAAAGTTGGCCAGCTGCTTGGCATCTATGTAGGTACCTAGATATGTAGCCAGGCTGTCAGGTGCTGGTTGTTGCAAGTGCACCGGAAATGGGGGAAAAAGTTCGATGAATTGAGACGACCGTAGAAGGCAAATAACAAAAAAGAGAAAATAGGAAAAGAGGAAAGAAGAACAGATAAGCAGAAGCAGTGGAAGAAATGGATGCAGCCAGCTATCATAAATTAGGCTGACCGCATGGTTATCGTGGAGGTTCCCTGAGCAAGTCCATGGTTTGGCGCTGCACACATAGGCAACCCGCTTGCAGGAAGAAGCCGTGAGGAGAAGCAAATGTGAAAATAATATAAGATATGATGAATGAAGACAGGGGTATCAAAATGAGAGAGAATATGACTTTCAAAGTAGACATAACCGAAAAGAAAATAAATTGAAGAACAAATTAGTTTGAACGTATCTCAAACAACCACTCCAGTAGAGCATTGGTGAATGGGCTCCAGTACCGTGACGGCCTTTCGCAGTTAATAACCAGGAGGGAGTTTTAATAGCATACGTCACGGGTTCTGGACAGCGAAAAAGATTCTCTCCAGGTAGTTTCTCTGTGGGGGGAATAATCACCATCATCACAGGTTTGCTAAGGAGGCATCAGACCGTGGGGTATTCTTCCCTTTTAGAATTCAGGGGCTACACGGCCTGTTCCTGCTGGGCGTTTGTGCCAAGATGAACGTAAAAGCATAAGTTATCGATGTGTGCTTCTTTGAAAATACATGGAAGATAAAATGGAAGAAGAGGGGAGAAGGGAAGAGGAAAGGATATCGTATCAACATGTGGGCCCAAGGGTGTTTAGGCTCCTTGATCTGACAGCTGGCGATATGAGTGGAGGAAAGGCCATTGTGGATGGCTTGGAACAACACATAGTTACATATTTAACGTTGAGTCCTGTTTTGATCTTGGCATTATTTTCTAGGGAATGCAGATTTCAGTGTTTCACAACAATAAAAACCAACCTTGCTCTCACTTAAGAGGGTGCAAATATGAATTTGATGCCATGTTTGGTGACTAGACATGCTTCTCGCACTCTTTTGAAAAAGGTGCCTTGCTTTTTTTTGTCTGGTTGTGGGTGTGTGCAGTGTTTACAAAAGCCTATCTTTTCCGCTCATATCATTCTAACCTCGACTGGTCAGGGGTAATTGGCTGAGCTGACAATCACTGCAATGGCCACAATGCTTACAGGACAGGAATAGGAAACAAGGAGGCATGTGAGAAAACCTGGTGACAAAGAAATCGACACGATCGTGAAGGTGATGAAGGGACTCGGATTTTGAAAGCTGGATAATGCGGTCCATAGGCTGTTGTTTCATGCCGCATCTCTAAGGCTCAGCATTTAATTTCGTTAAATCCTAGATTTCGTTTCATATAAGATCAAGGGGTGGTATCGAGGAGTCAAGTCATTGAATCAGCCGATTCCGTAGAAACATGTCCTCTACCCATTCAAAAATGAACATTAAAGTAGAAGAGAGGACTTGACAAATTCTAACCTTTGGGGTTTCTTTTCGCACAAAAAAAAAAAAAAAAAAAATAACTGAAAGAAAAGAAACAAAGCTTTTAACAGCAGACTAACAACAGAGATCTTGTCATTCTATGGCTCTTCCTCATCTCAACATCAAACACTTAACATGCATCCATGGCAAAAAGCTCTCTCTTCATTTCAAGGAATAAGAAGTACTTTTCCAGACCAACCTTAACAGCAGAAGCAGGAAATGAACAAGGAAGAATGAAAAACAATTAGGAAATCCATTTTAAGTGCAAAAGTTAACAACAAATCACAGACATCCATATGAGAGCATTGTCAGCAACATTAAAAATGAATCGCATAAAAGCAGAGAAACTAGAGCTTGAAACTCAAAACAAAAGAGAAGCGGACGGAAAAGTAGTTATCACCCAATCCCCAAGCAACCTTTACACATATCACATAACACCTACTTCGTTAACATTTCCGAACACCCTCTTATCTCCGCATCTGCTCCCTTTCAACTTCATACATGAAATCAAAATACGGCTTATCGAAATGGTGGACACGGACGTATCCGTCCTCTCCACCAGATGCATAGGCTGTCCCCAACGGATGCGCGGCGATTGTGTTGAGGGGACCGAAGTGGCCCTTGACACGGCCAATCTCGTCCTCGAAGATTTTGTGGTAGAAACGGGCTTCGAATTTACCCTGGCGGGCATCAGTCGTGGTGACGTCCATGGCTGCTTGGCCGCCGCCGAGAATTACGAATTCTTTCTTTACTGTTAGGGCGGCGGTGTTGAGCGGTGTGTCTGCTACGTAGGTTTTGAGGATGGCGAGGTTTCGGGCGGAGATTATCTGGGTATTGGTGTTAGTTGTATGTTTCGGTAAATTTTCTTTGTCTTTATTTTGAGACGGCATGGAATTGGGACGTACCTTGGCACTCTTGTCTTTGGATGCAGTGATGAAGTATGTTCTGTCAGGTGAAAATTGAATGTCGTTAATTTGGTAGTCGAATTCATGGGCTTGGACGTTTTCGAGTTGTTCTCCGGTCTGTGATTACGATGAAAGTGTAAATATAGAAAAATGAAACACATGCCCAACAAAACGTGCACATAGCTCCTATTGAGAGTCGTACCTTCGCGTCATATTGGCTGACACTACCATCCTCGTGTCCAGCAATGATATATTTCGACAAGAAACTCCACCCAGCAACCGTTGCTTTGCTCTCTTCGCATGTAATCTTCAATGTAGGCTCATCAGGCTGGTCATCCAAGTTATTTCCATTTTTGTCTCCATACCGTATGTCAAAGACCACAATGGTAGCCAGATATCCCATACGCTTCTCGGTCACGCCCAGCAGCCGCTTGCCATCCACGCTGAACTCCACCCGCTTGACAGCTGTAGGGAAATCCCAGACCTTAACACACTCGCCCGTCTTCGTATTCCAGAGTCTGATGGTGTTGTCTGCAGCACCGGTAGCAACGAGAGCACTATTTGGAGAAACATCGACAGTCCAAAGGGCACCCTGGTGTCCGTGGTATGTGCCTAATCTTTCGCCATTGGCGGAGAACCAAGCGCAGAGAATCTTGTCCTTTGCAACTGAGAACAGAAGATCACCATCACGGTTGAATTTTATTTGATTGATAGACCGTTCCTATAAATCCCGCACGCGTTAGCCGGGAAAGAAATTGGAGCAAAACATGGGGCTAAATTGCGGAGAAGGGAATATATTTATTTAAATGGGCTTGCCGTACATGGCCTTGGAGTAGGATGGGTCTCATATTGACTGCAGCAGATGTCCGGTAGTAAATTCAGGAGAACAAGCTGTAACAAAGTATATATACTGTAGACGCTTGCTACGCTTAACGGACAAGCTTAATAGGCTGCTGAGTGGATATGTCAGAAGTTGGAAGGGAGATGGTGTTTTTGTATATCCATCTGTATCTTGTTGCTCTACAACCAAAATGTAATTTCGTCGCACACTTTGATTAATGCCAAGAGTTATGTTACCATACGTGGGTATCGAGGCAATACCGGGATCCGGGGCTACAATAGGCCGGGGGAAATTTAAACTCTAATCCAACTGCAGAAATTGGATGCTGACTTAGTCATCGATTCTTGGGATCCTGGAAAAAAACATCGGAGAAAAATTTATTTGTAAAAAAATTAAAAAATAAATAAATAAACAAAGAGAAAAAATAAAAAAATAAAAAAATAAAAAAATTGAGAATGCAAATTAGAGATAATTCAAATGATATTATAGTGCGAGATAAATAAGCACTAAAATTGACCTGCTCGATATATATGACACCAATCTGGATATGAGAGTGAGACTCGGACGTTAAAACTGTAGCGTTTTCAGTCGTATTGTATGGAGTAACTCCATCGTCGATCAGGTCAAGTCTTTTTCCTCATTTATTTGAGTCTTTCAGGTTAGGCACCGCACACTTTTAGTCAGGCAATTCAGCTTGCTGGCGCCAACAAAAAGTTTGGCGTAGGAGCCGCCCCAGCCTCTAGAAGCAGGATATCATAGGATATCACTTAAGCATCGATCACAGGCCAGACCGAGGGTCATGCCGGTGCCCGCTGCGTCAGGTATTGTGTGTCGAGCCCATCCACTCCGTTTCCCGCCGATTCCCCGCCATCGACACCACCAGCCCAATTCACTTACTCGATCCCACCTCATCGCTCAGCTTCACGCCCACCACGGCACTAGACTGGCGGCAAGGCGTTTCTCTTCATTTCCTACCAGATCTCGTCTTATCTCCGTCCCTCATTTCGCGACTGCTCACGTCCACAAACTCGACCCCACCGACGATTCACTCTCACTGTGGGCGGGAAAACGCTCCTTTTCATCCACAAATTCTAATATGGCAGCCATCAAAATTGATGGCACAGCGATTGCCAAAAATATCAGGGAGCGATTGAATGCTGAGATTCAAAAGTCTCAACAAACAAATCCCAGATTCAAGCCCAGCTTGGTAATTTTCCAAAGTGTGTATTAATCAATTTTCATGACATAAAATCTCTGCGTTCTGTCACAAGGTTTAAATGATTTTAAAGCTAATTGGATTTTCTTTTAACATAGTTGGAGACAGATCGGATTCCAGTACGACAATAGACCATGTCTTGTCCTAGTTTAAACCTTGAATGTAGACTTACCGTAATATAGGTACATATGTGCGGATGAAACTGAAGGCTGCACAAGAGGTATGCCCCTCCTTCCCACCTATTCTCCTCCCAACTGGAATAGATATTGACTGCTTTTACGATCTCATTACAATAGGCAAACATCCAATGCAAACTCACTAAGTTTTCTGAAGAAATCAGTGAGCTTGA